CCAAGTAAACTTGAAATTTGGTCAATTCATGTCCTAGTTGTGCAGGGACGGCAAAGAAATGTACAAAAAAAACGTGGTGCACGTGCAGAATTGTTGTTTTGCTCATTTTTTTGACGTTTCCGTTAAAGTCGCCGTCGTAGTTTCGTAAGGTCCCTACTGACACATAGGACTAATAGGCTCGACTTCCAGCCGTTTTTGAGGGAATCTGGATTGCAACCTCTTTCTACAACGAAGGAACGTGGGCGCACCGATTAATCGGCTGGTGATCGAGTCTACTATCAAACAACAACATTTTTTATAGGGATGACTGATATGTCGCGTCTTTCAAAAATTTCATTCAACTTGAAAATAATTTACTGACTTTTAGTTTCCCGCGCATGCAAAAATGTTGTTTTTCCTAACAGGGGAAACCTTAAATATTTTTTCATGTCTAAAGCTTACTATTACTTTTGGATAGCCTTGTGACAGCATAAGTCAAAGTGGTAAGCATTACTAAAGTAACTTAAGATTGATACCTGCTGTGGGCTCACATGCGCACTTCCTTGTAATGTTGTTCTGTGGCCGCAGATTACCTAAAACCATATGAACAGAGAAATAAATGATTCCTTAACGTTGTATAGATGGGCTCCTCTATAAATTGATAAACAATGTCAGAATATTGACAAATTCATGCTGGCTTTTAAAAGATGGGAAAACTACGTTTATGGGAGGCGAAACTTAACAAAGAGGTTAAGCGTCAAGTTTGCGCAAGAGAGGACTTGTACCACGTGACCAAGTTCGCCTTTTACTTGTCGTTTACTGTTCATTATTTCTACACATAAATTCGCAGTTTCACGCAATTTTTTATCCATGAGAACTGTTTTGAGCTGTTTTTATCTGCTCATTTTCTATTTTGAGAAATTCTCAACTTGAATCTGACGTTTGCCGTTTGTCGTATACCTACTTAGACTCTCCAGTGCGAGGCGAACGTTCACTATTCAAATGAAGCGTTTTCTACGGACGCGAAACCGCTGGGCAAGGAAGACTAGCGAGAAGTGACCAGAAGTACCGCGATTATAAAAATATGATTCGTTTTTAACTATTTGGTAAAATCAACGTTGCACTCAACAAAGCTATCCCACAGAAACGTACTCTATCAAGTACAAAGTTTATTGAACTCGTGCCATCACAACAACAACAACAACTACAACAACATTTATTTAAACACGATAAAATTACGGCGGAGCTGATGTTGTCAAAACAGCAGCCTGATTCTCCAAGAAAATCAGGGATCCGAGACCACTAGGCACCTTCAACACTGCGAGACCTAGAGCAATGTTTAAATAAACCAGGCAGCGAAACTCTCCAAACTGGTCAAAAATTTGTGAAAAGACCTCATTGCCACTCGCCACCTCAGGTATAGAAATGGAGTGGCATGACAGTTTCGCAAAACCAGTTGTGCTAACCTGACTGAACAGCAATCGCGACTTCAGTATTGGAAACCGAAAAAACGCACTTTAAAAGCACTTAAAAGATTCTTTGACTAGATTTGCCACGATTTAATAAGCACATTTTAACATTTTCCTTAGGGCGTGGCCGAAAAAGAAAGAGACAAAAACAAACGTGATCTAAAGTAAGTATCAAACAGATATTGGGGGAGTCTTTCCAGTGGAGGTTTCAACGTACATGCGGAGATCGGATGTGAACCGAATACTTTGGGAAAGAATTATTTTTAACTACAATCGAACGTGCTACTTGGTCAATTATTGCAGGAACCCATCTTTGTTGTCCCGACAAGATTAATTATCATTTCCTTCCTTCCGTGAGTATTGAATCATTTCAAATCACCCACTAAGCTGAGTTAAAAGTAGATCGATCGACGCTGTTCGTTCAGACAGTGCAGGGTCCATTCATTAGAATTAGAATTGATTCATTAATCATAACTATGACAAAATTCTCAAATCTGATTGGCTATCAATAGCCCTGATTTCAGCCTTTATTACATCCACTTTGAAATCACTGGCTATCCGTGCAATCTGATTGGCTCTCAGCAGTGGGATTTATTCCTAAATCGCACCATTTTTTGCTCTAAATCGCATCTGTTCCAAATTGCGTCATTCATGTTCTAAATCGCATCATTTCTATTTCAAATCGCACCATTTTTGTTCTATATCGCATCATTTCTGTTTGGAATACAAAATGAGATGTAAAAGCCTTGTTGTTTCGACTTTTTAACAGACCGGCTACTTGATCAATAAAATATTAGTACTGACTAAATTCTGCGATTTCAAAATGGAAGTAATAAAGTGGTAATTGAACTTCGTGTCGTGCAATTTTGGTCTGAAATCATACTTGTGATTTCAAATCGAACTCGCGCTGCGCGCTCTTTCGATTTTGAAATCACGCGTATGATTTCAGACCAAATTGCACTCCACTCGGTTCAATTACCATTATTAATAGGACAGTTTCATAGCACAGAACGCACTATCAAGCGCGCGACTGCTACCAAAAAAAAATCTTGGATATTCTTATGTTTTGATTTAAAAAAGAGCCTTATATAGCGCAAATTTTGGAGTTATGATTAACTGGTAACAGAATTTCGTGTCGTCCAATTCGGTCTGTTATCATACTCGTGATCAAACAAATCGGACTCCCGCTACGCGGTCGTCCGATTTTGTTAATCACTCGCATGATTACAGACCGAATTGGACTCCACTCAGTCGAGTTACCATCACTAATTAAAGAGATGAAACTGATCGTTGCTCCTTATCAATGCTGGCTACAAACCAATAAATATATCTTTCCGTTTTCCGCTTATCAGCTCCTGGAGGAAGGATGTTGTATGTTGTTTTTGTCTTTTTTTAGACACAACAAAAGCTTCGAAGATGTAACTCATCAACACATTTGTGCGTCTTCTCGATCAATTTATAAAAGACATGATTTCCGTCCTGCCAAATGAATTGCTTGGGAATATTCTATATTTTTATCTTCGATAGTCTTATAAGCTTTCATTGGAGAATTTTATAAAGTAGTCACTAGACACGTGATATTCTGTTTCAGAATATCTAAGAAAGGTAAAAATTGATGTGAACAGCAGAAATAGAGATATATACTTTTATTCGACGCCCTGAAAACATGATTATAAAGAAGTGGAAATCGCTTTTCGCCTCCAAGATGTTATCTTGTTCACTATTTTATTTTTGCTTACTACAAACGTCGCTTTACGAACACCCGCTTAATACAGACACCTCGTCATTACGGAACGTTTGCTTTGTCCCTGAGGAAAGAAAGGCCGTACATTTTCTCTAAATTCAACACACTTAATACGGAAACCCTGTTGATATAGACACTTTCTATGCCCCTCAGTATCCATATTCACGGGGTCAGACTGCATTATTCTCCACCCTTCATAGGGAAAGCATTGTGAGACAAAAGGTGCCTTCCAACATGCTGTATTAATGGTAAAATGGTACACAGCTATAAATTCCCGCCCTTTTTACTGAGCATGACACAAAAGTCTAACATAAAGTTTGAAATAAGAAAAATACATCGTCAGCCCCCAATTAAGTGTACGTACTACTAAATGAGAAACCTGTTTTGTTCCCCTTCTAAATATTGCAGTCATTTGACAGTAGTCTACCGCGTAACTTGAACTGAGGTCGAGCGATTTGAAAAACAACAACAACAGTACTTTCTTCTTCAGACTGAAGTTATTTAAAACCCTCATGTTAAACTAGGCGAAAAGTCAAAGGCGCACACGGCATCGGCCTCTGCATGAGCAGACAAGCCTTCTATGAAAACAACTCGGCACTAAGTCTGAATTAAGAGAATGAAGACTCGAGTTGTCTTTTCGTCTTTCTTTCTCTTTCATAATTGGATGACACGTAGAACGTAAACGTGCTGCAGCACATCTCCTAGTAGTTTGGTAACATTAGACTCAGTAGAACCTGATCACAGCATAACTAAATGAAAGCTATTGTGTAGATAATTCTTTTTGAAGGTAAGTTACGGGTGAAATCCCGTAATAACTACCTACTTAGCAGTTCGTTTTTCCATGGTATTCTTTATCATTCTACACAAGCGATGATTCAGTCTAAACTTTGATCCTTTGAATGAAATCCCTCAGCTACTGAGAACCACTTTTTTCTGGTTCTTTTTCTCATACTGTACAAGGTGCTTCAACAGAGCCATTTTAACTCTGTAGATGAAATACTGTAATTAAGGAGAAGTATTTTCCTATGTTATTGTCCAACATACTGTAAAAGTGGTTCTCATTTTTGCTGGAGTCTGTGAATGAAATCCTAAAGAGTGAGCATTCAAATGAAAGCTATTCAGCAGAACTTTACTGTGGTATGTCGAGATATTGAACACTCGGGAAGTTTAGAGAGCACGAAAGAGGCGTAAGAGCTGCTCGAGGCGCAGCCGAGAGCAACTCTAGCCTTTTGAGTGCTCTCCAAACTTCCCAAGTGCTCAATATCTCGACATACACATGGCATACACACGGCTGAAGCATGAAATAATTGTTTTGTAACATTTTCAAAGCGATCAAAGCGGCAGTTAACTTAGATTTCTATTATTGTGGCGCGCGCTCAAAGCAGCACGCGTCAGCGTCTACGTGACTATATTTTTTTTACCTCACAGTTATGGTTTTGTCTTGAAACTGAGAGAAAGTTTACTCAAGATTTAAATCCAAGATTGTTAAATCCATAAAAATTGAAAGGTTTGCCGTCATAAAAGATGACCACAACAACAACAACAACAACAACACTCTCCTCTTTTCCCTACTATCGGTTAACAAATTCAAATGTTTTCTCTTAAATTTACCTTACAAAACACATGGTTAACGCTTCATCGTGTATTGTTGAGTCATGGATGCACTTGGGAGACGTCTTGGGAGGATTGCTAAGCTCACAAGAACTCGAGGTATTAATTATTGATGTCATTAGCGTGCTCAATGGGAATATGAAGCACGCTCGTGCTATTGAATTTGATTTGGCGACTATTCTAGCTATGTTATAAAAGATGGTTGTTAGACTTTTGTTAGAGTTTGTGTTTGACTGATCCTAAGGTGTCATCAAAATGATTCAAGCCATCTGAGCAGCACCTTGAATCCCTAGGTTCTGTTCTTAATGGTGATTACAGCTTGAAGGGAGATGGAGCAATCAGCTACAGAAAAACGTTGCAACAAGAAGCTTTTAAGCTTTAAATGAATCAGTCTCTATTAAAGCATAGTGAATTTTTCTAAACATTAAAATGAAAGGTGTTTTGACGCGACGTTATTTATTATCTTCTGTAAAACCGGCGTACAATATTCCCATTAAAATTGAACTTGCAAGCAATGACTCATATCTTACAAAAATAGTACAGGACTTATAGCAAAGGTAGTTCTAATCTGCTGTGCTAATAAATATTTTGTATTTTTCTAACTTTTGAGTAGGTGGAAGAATACTAATGCTAAAAATTAGTGTGTCCAGTCACATGAAAGCTTTTGTTAGCGAACTATTCTCGACGCAATGTTGAAGAGTTATAGGGTACAAGGAGTACAACTAACTCTCGGCTGTCCGCCTTTAAAAAGGAGTATGTATATTGATGAAATAATTCGTGTACTGATGGGCGTTGTCTGTGACAACCGCCGGGTTTTCAAGAATGGCAAAGAAGAGAAAAACAACTAAATTCGCGGAGGTACTTCATGATCGTAATTCCTTACACAAAACAAAGCGGATTTAGTTTATTATTTTTTATGTAATTAAACATGATGAAACGAAGTTACTGATCAAAGTTAAGGTTCTCCTTGGACATTACAAGTTACTAATCAGTTCTTTACTTTTATTTTAAATGGTTTACAATGCAGAGGTTTTTTTAGCATGGGACTCTGCATGAGTTTGTATATCAGTGCCAGAACTTCTATGAACTGCGGGTTAAATGAAAGCTTTAGGCGACCAACACTTAAATGACTGTGGTCATGCGGTTTGTTGTTATAAGGTAATGATCTAAAATTTGACTGTTAGTGAACGTAAAACTTAATAGAGATTTAACAATTCAAATGAAAACTACTCTGTAACGGACGCTTTTTGTTACGCTCGGTGGTGATAACCTTTAAGTATACAGGTGACAGTTCAAGTTGGAGTTTAAAGCAGCACTTTCCCTTGGTAAGTCTTGTGATATTCAGTTTTTAAATTTACCGTGATTGAATGAACGTCAATAGCAAGAATACCACAATTTTAATAGAAGGCCTTGAGCAACGTACTGATACATCCCTTGGTACTTCAACAGTAATAAAACTTTTTGCAAGTTCTGTTAGTGTTGATTGCTTTGTCAGCATGTCAAGATGACGACAGTGGTTTGAGCTAACCCAAGGATAAAGCAGTCGGTGCCGGGCATTCCAGCCCACACACCAAAAATCATCTTTAGTATACTGCACCCCACCGAGTGTTATGAGTTACCCTCAAGACTTCCAATCCCATGGTGATTAGATCATAGTGCCTCATCTAACGTTACAGTTAAGTGAAAATAGATTTTGTTATCAAAACTTCATGAACTAAAACCCTTAAAATCAATATCATTTTTGTCATATGTCTTATCCTTCATTGACCTCGTATCCGCCAGTAAACTAGTACGTGAAATAAAATATGCTTGTTTATTGATAAAAAAGATGTTCTAACGCTGACACGGAAGTAGAGAGATCCGTGTGTTGCACGCACTACTGACCAACATGAAAAACTTTACATTGTGCTACCCTCATTACCAGTCCATTAGTGCGTCAATACATGGAGATTTAAAAACGAATACAAGAAATAAATTTGGGATAAGCTGACATTTGTTTTGGGCTAGCATGGATTATTGTTAACAAGGTCTTTAAGCAGTGAACTTTGTCGTTAATTGCATAACCGCACACTCAAAACAAACATGGTACGTGAAAGTGACGAAGGACAAAACTACTAAACATGAAATACGTGCAATAATGACTTACGTCCTGCACCCTGCGCCCGAGTCGTTCTGCGCACTTGAGCTGAGACCTACAGTGTGTAGAGACAGAAACAAAATATATGTAAGACAAATTGCACAATTAGTTAAAGGTTATAATCAGCCAATGCATGGGAAGATATTGTGCATGTAAACTGCTATCTTAAAGCACAATTTCCCATTGTCAACTTCACGTGTAATAACCTTTTGAGGGCTAGGAAACCTTCTCAATAGCTTTTCAATCTTCGACTTGGTGTTTCGTAGCTCTTTTTTCATCTCGTCGTTCTCTTTCTGGATTTTCTGGAGGCGGCCGGACATCTCGCTTAATGTCCTTCTCGAAACGTCCACGTTTCGAGATAAGTTGATCAGCTGCGTCAAAAGAATGACCACGAAAGTGGTCAAAGTCAATCCAATAATCATCGTGATCCACGGTAAAATCTTTTGTTTCCGCTCTGAACTATGATCCCTGGAACAGTTCATGTTCATCTTGCTGCGTCTGCTTTGCAACTCAGCTTAAGGAAGCGGGAGGACTATTTCATCACGAAATGATATATCGTTCCTTCACTATGTTCACGTGATCAATTTGTTTATTCCATGACTTTATGAGATTCCCTTCTAGGGGGGAAGGGGAGCAAAATTTTGCCTTTTTTCGAAGAAATTTGATAACTTTCTTAGAATCCTTTTACCCTTGAATTAATATGCAATAGCAACCTTTGTTTACAAAACTGTCAAAAAAGAAGAAAGAGTCATTCAGTTCCGTCGAGTGATTTCAATTCTTTAATCTGCTGTACGCGATACAAAACTATGTCGAACTAAGAAACTTTTAGTTAAAAGAGTTGTTAGGGAACGACAACTATTAGCCAAAGCAACCGCAAGTAGCATATTTTTCGTATGAATTGTTGTTTCGTGCTAGTCATCAATATTAATAAGTCATACAACAAATAGCACATAGAAAAGCTCTGAGATGACTGGCTACAAAAGAATAGCTTTATTATTTCACCTTAACCTTCACTCGTTTTGGCTGACACTGCTTTTGTGTGAAGACCATACACCGCTGGATTAAAAGAAAAGTTCATAATGACCTTGGGCCGGATGCATTTTTATTACTGTAAAATTTGACCTGGCCTGGACTTCATAGCTCGCGCCACTGTGATTAAATCGCATACCCAGCAAAAGAAAATACAATTAAAGGCTATATCACCAGGAAAGATATCGAGGTGCATAAAACGGAAGCTTGAAGATGACTTGTTACATTTACTGTTTGCTTGTACTCAGTCCGTGTTAAACTTTGTAGGAGAGGGAGATTGAAAATGCATCGGCGAACTTTGAGTTTAGAATTACTGTCTGGATGAAAATTATTCGTTGAAAAATCCAGGTGTAAAACATTGTTTTTGTTAAATTTTCTTTTTAAGACATTCAAATGGACAATCGCGACGAAATAAGATTTAGGTGAACTAACTCAACAAATTAGCATATTTAACATCCGTTTGCGAAAGTGACAAACTTTAACTTACCTTATAACTTTTTACAGATTTAGTTATTCATTGAAACTTCTCGTTACCTTTGAACATTGGTAAACTCGGCTAAATTTCTTTCTTTTCAACTGAACACAGTTTGAACATAAAAAACGTTGCAGTTGAAATTTAATGATCGCGCAGTAATAACTTAAACATAGCTATCATGATCAACAGACCTTGTATTGAAATCTTACAAGGTTCTCTAAATACAGCGCAAAAAACAACAACAACAACAACTTTTCTCCTATTGCTTTAGGTAAGTAAGGTTTTCGGTTTTCCGAGAAGCGAAGAATTCGGCTCACCTTAAATGTTGCCTTGATGGCGGTGTTTCATCCGGCAGGGCGTCGGGGAACAGGCTGGCCACTCGGTCCCCTTACGACTTTAGCTTCAACCTTTCCCAGAATGGAACAATTAAAGACATGACCACCACGCCTCCTGAAGCGGGTTAAAAGCGATGTTTAGAGATAAGGAACGGTTTTAAACGCAAAACAATTTGTCTTCTTTAACGAACTAATTCGAAGCGTGGATCCGCTTCATTCTTCAGAACAGCATTAATTGCCATTCTTAGAATATAGAATACTAGGAATCACCAATCGAAAGTGAAACTGTATACAGTACAAGGAAGTAAAAACGACCAATCAACGCAGCGCTAATCACTGTACAAATCAGTAAAAAAAAAGCAGCTAGGGCTGCTTTTCGTCAGGAAATAATTGATACCAAAAAAAAAAGACAGCACGTTTCTTCACTAAAATCTAAAATGAAGCTAAACAGTCCACACTACGAGTGGTTTTCGAGGGTCAAAGCCAAAAGTAAATTAGATCCGTCCGTTAATCAATGCACGGTTCCAAAAAAAAATACTCTTGACTAGCGGTTTTCCTATGAAACTGTTAGGCCCGCCACGTTTCCCTGTCTCACCAATTTGCTGTAACACTTCGGATTTTTGTATCTTTCACGCGTTCTCAGACACGTTATAAGGAATTTGAGAGTTAGGGCGCGTTTCTGATTGAAAAAATATCCAGCTTCTTCAATCCAAAAATATTTTTTTCTGTATTAAAATGGATGTAATCGAAAGAATCCATATTCCGAGACTGGGGCTCATTAGATCAAATATAAATCCGCATTTATATAACTGATGGCCTGTCCGTTTCCTTGGATACGGATCCGAGTCGAGTAAGCCACTTCTCCTCCTTCATGTGAAATACAGGGCAGACGAAGCATGTTCTTTTCCAGTTCGCAGATATTACTGCCACACTGAAGAATCTGTTGGTATTTTCGTATAGTTTTTGAAGACTTAAAGATAAAGGTTGAGCCCGCAAGTAAAATGAAGTGGAAAAATGACGGTCAGCCGGAGTAATCAACTAAAAGAGACCACGGATGAAGGGAACGAAAAGCTTATTATTATAGTCAGTATTATCAAGTTCATTGCAGTCACATCATGGCGAAATCATCAGCAAAAGAAAAATTTACCGATGGCCATTTAAGATATGTTTTTTTTATATTTTTCCGTGCGTTCTGCTACCGTTTTAAGTCGATCAAAGTACAATCCGGTCACCCTCATAGAGCCGCATGTCCACTCTAATACAATACTAATTTAAGCACTGAAGCACACGTACCAACTCCGCGGTTAACCGCGGACTTGGTACGTGCGCTCCAGTGCTTAATTATAGTCGGTACTCACTCTGATACACCACGTAACGAGGTCTCTATCGGGCACTATCTACGTACCCTTAAACTTAGTTTGTTGGAAAAATAGACTGGTTCGCAGCAGACTCCTTTTTCCCTTAAAGAAATTAGAGATTTAGTTCCAACGCCTACTCTCCACTGTATATACAATGCTCCCATTTAATCTCAATTGGATTATTGTAATATTGTCTGGGGTAATTGTGAAAAAAACTTTGTCTGACAGGTTATAGCACAGGTAGCCCAAGCTCGAAACATGAGCATTGGCGAGCATCGGCATTGTTGCGTAACCTTCAAAATATAAGGATTTGTATGGGAAAAAAACCTATCGTTTCTGTAACCTACGAAAATGAAAGGATTTCAATTAAAAACAGCTTACCTTACTTAAAATGTGTGTTACGTCTCTCCTGTGTGGTCCACTTTATCGGTTTTTATCTAAACGGTTTTCTCTCTATACCATATTTATTCGATTAACCGCCCTGGGCGTTTATTAAATTTTTGGACCTTGCGAGTGGGCGCTTATTCGAGATGGGCGCTTATTCGAGACTGGGCGCTTATTAAATTTTCACCATTTTCAGCAAGTGAAGTATGTTTATTTTGCAACAAATCAATAAATGCTACTAACAAAACGCAAAGAAGTAACAAAGCAAGGTTTTTGTAAAATACTCTGAAGAAAATTCCGTCCTCTGGGAGGTCTCTTATTAGAATTTAGTTACTCATGTGGGTGGGGTGGGGGTGAGGGCTTATTTGAGTTTGATTGGGAGGAGGAGGGGGTGGGCGCTTATTCGAGGCTGGGCGCTTATTAACTTTTTCTGCCTTTAGGATGGGCGCTTATTCGAGGTGGGCGCTAATTCGAGGTTGGGCGCTTATTCGAATAAATACGGTATAAAGGTTTAGAGAGAAAACCGTTTACATAACGTTTAAGTAAGGTAAGCGGTTTTTTATTGAAATCCTTTCATTTTTCCTGAATCCTTATATTTTGAATGTTACGCAACAATGCCGACGCTCGCCGAAGCTCATATTTCGAGCTTGCCTGGGCTACCTGTGGTTACCGAAGCTTCAGAACCGTGCTGCTTGTGTTCTAACATTGTCTAGATATGGGCATGATGCTGATGCCAACCGCTTATTTAGACAACTTAATGGGAAAGACTGTGATGAGCACTCAGTTTCAAATACAAATAGCCCTAATGGTTTACAAGTCTTTAAATGATCTTGTTCCAGGATATTTATCCTCTAAATTTGTTAAACGATATGAAACGGCTACTGCCTAAACCGCCAACTGGTTAGCTCAGTTGGTAGAGCGCCGGACTGCTGTGCGGGAGGTCTCGGTTCGAGCCCCAGACCGGACTAACACTCAGGGTCTTAACATGCTGCCTTTGCAATGACATCTGCAAGTGGAAAGATGTTCTAGTCTTCTCGGATAAGGACGATAAATCGTAGGCCCCGTATACTGCATCTTCAGTGTTATATGGTCAGCGGGGGACGTTAAAAAACCCACGCACTCGTCGTAGAGAGTAGGGCATGGAGTTGCCGGAGTTCCCGGGGTTCCCGGTGAGAGCAGGGGCGGATCTAGGGGAGGGTGCAGGGGGTGCGCACCCCCTCTTCCCCCTGAGATGACCTGCGGTTTTCTAATACAACTGCAAAAAAAAACTAAGTGGTTTATTGGTGTTGAAGTAGAGCAAGAGACGAGTGCACCCTCTCCTAAAAAAAATCCTGGATCCGCCTCTGTGATGGTCTGGCCTTGTTTCACGGGTTGGTGCTTCACATAGGGTTAACCTCATTGCACCTTTCCCCGCTTGGACAGATTTGCCCAAGAAAAAAATGAGTACAAGACTCTGTTAACAAACTAATTGTCCCGTTCCCCCGAACTAACGTCATGAAGAACAGCTTCAGTTATAGCGGAGCAGTTCTCTGGAACAGCCTGCCCTGACGAGAGAAGCTAAATATTTGAGTCAATTTAAACGATTGGCTCATCTGAATTTCTTATTTTTGGAGTTAAGTACTGTGTACACGGCATTCATGAAAAACAGGTCTTAGTTAGGTTAGTTGTAGATAGTTTTGCATATTGTTTAGGCGGTTTATTTAATTTTTTTTCTATATATACTCCTGATGAATTTTACCGTGTTTTAAAAAAAGAATTATTCTATTCTACCAAATTTTCCCTCCTCCCATCCCCCCCCGCTTCCCACAGCCGTCTCTGACCTAAAGGATTGCGGATTGCAGCCTTCAAAGAAATTACTCGCGCTTGCATCCTACTAATGGTAATTCAACTAAAAATTTCCGAGCCAAAGAAATACACAGACGGTATGTTTTTTTTTTAGGGACGGACCATTAGAAAAGTGATGGGGGGCGGGGGGGGGT